GAAACCATATGGTCAAAAATCTTAAACAAGTCTTTACAATTTACTCTTCCCATCTTTTTTGAAAACCATTTACAGAAAATATCGCCTTGTTAGCTTGAGATACCAGACAGCTTTGTGCTTTACTCCATACAAGCTTTGGTGTAAATACAAGTCCTAGATATTTATAAAAGGATACAGTTTCAATAGGATTACCATTATAGAACCACTTTTCATATTCCCACAATGGCCCACCATTTCTAAAAACAAGAACTTTTGTTTTACTAAGATTAATTGACATTCCAGTTTGTTTACAAAAACATTCAAGTGCATTTATCTTCTGTTGTAACTGATTACAAGTATCAGAAAGTGCAGAAACATCATCAGCAAACATAAGTGAACACAACGTGTTAAAATCAGGTGAAACATTAACACCTATACCACCTTCCTATTCCATTAAGGAAAACAACTTATTAATAAATATGATAAACAGCTGTGGGCTTAACACACAACCCTGACGGGTACCAATATTACATGCAAAACACTTAGATAAACCCTTTGAGGTTCTAACATATGCAGATAACTGCTGAACATTGATGATATTATATTATAAAATTTACCAGAAATACCAACTTCAGCTAAAGATTGCAAGAGAACATCATGTCTTATTGTGTCAAAAGCCTTTGAGAAATCAATAAAAAGGCAATAAAATCTACCTCTCTTTTTACCAGAATATTTTTGGGCTAAAGCCTGAAGAGAGAAAATGTGATCAATTGTGGAGTACCCTGCTCTGAAGCCTGCCTGAGAATGAAGTAAGATGATCTGAACTTGTCATTCCGAGATTGTATTACATGTTTTAATTTTAATTATTTTAATCATTTTCAGTATTGGTACAACCAAAAAACTTTACTCCAGTCAGTTTCAGGGGTGGTGGGGTAGCCTAGTGGTTAAAGCGTTTGCTTGTCATGCAGAAGACCCGGATTCGATTCCCTATAACATCTTTGTAACCTTAGAGGGAATTCATCACATGGGTACAATTTGTGAAGCCCTTTTCTGGTGTCCCCCGCCATTGATATTGCTAAAAGGGGTGTAAAACTAAACTCACTCACTCCATGATAACTCACTAAACTAAGTTTATTTTCCTGTATGTATAAGATATAATGTTATAACATATGTTATGCTCGGGATTACACTTTCAGGCTGACTTTGTGTGCTGGCGATTAGGTGCCTAATGGGACTCAACCCAACAAAAGTACTAGAATTTGTACTTTATTAAGAAAGTGTAATCCCAAATATAACATATGTTACATGTAACCACTTTCTGAATGTCATTGTGTATTCACATATTATATACTTCTAATAAATCAAAAATCGAATTGCATTATACAGTACATCATATTTCTAATGGGGCGGTAGGGTAGCCTAGTGGTTGAGGCGTTCGCTCGTCACACCGAAGACCCAGGTTCGATTCCCCACATGGATACAATGTGTGAAGCCCATTTCTGGTGTCCCCAGCCGTGATATTGCTGGAATATTGCTAAAAGCGGCGTAAAACCAAACTCACTCAGTCCTATTTCTAATGATAATAAACTAGGAACACATACAGTACACATACATACAACATTTAATACAACATGAACCTACCTCAAGTCCTGATATGATAAGAAATCCTGTCTTGATAAATATTTGAGAACAGTAGGTGTCGTTCCTTCTGAAGTGAGACAGCAAGTGAGTTTAAAATCTGAAAACTGAAGTTAACTGTGGCCAGCTTGGCCAATCAGTGGGACAAAAGAACTGACGGGGGTGCTGGAACAAAGGTGTTGGAAGCATGCAGTGAGAACATCAGTGGATGTTATGTAAGCTGAGAACAGAGCATACTGTAGAGCTGTGGAATGAATGTTTTAAGGCATAAAATGTTGACATATAAAACATAACTAATGTTCTATCATACCAATGAATTATATTTTAACTAGTATTCTATTCCTATTTTTGAATATAGGTGTACAAGTCATTAAATGGTAACAAGCTCATACACGATATGATAATACGCTAATAAGAATAATACCATATATAATATATGTTAAAGCTTATACACCTTGATACTTAATAGTAACCCAGTTTAATCTACCTAATCTTAATTAAAAAGCTGTGTACAAATATTTGTCTGCCAGATCTATATTCAAGAATTTGAAATAAAAAACTCCGAAATTTTGAAAAAATAATCTGAACAAACAGTTGTTTTATTGACTTTACAGGCTTGGCATATAGACACCAAATGAACTCTTTCATGTATGCACATGACTTATCTTCATCCAGGATCTTGTCAGAATCCAGAATATCTAAGATGAACATTGCATAAATGTGGGATCATGATTAACCTTGGATTTATCATGGATACATGCAGGGATATTTTGCATTTATTTTTTGTTAATTAAAAATCTATAGTTACAAATTGTTAAGAAAGTGTTAGATAAAGCAATCATAACCCTAAAGTTATTGCAGCTCCCATTTTATGGGTTTACAATAATTGTTGCACTGTGATGGTTTTTGTAGATCTGTAATCTTATAAAAACATTATGCAAATTCCCCTGGAGCCGATAGCTTGAAAGTATAACGAGCATGACAATGGAATAATTCACTGCAGGACTTAAAACTATTTGAAATATACTAGAACCTATTCATCTGGAGAGCGTGGCTCTTTATCTATATGAGTGGTTCTACTAGTATAACAAGGTAGTGCTTTCTCTACATGCCACTTGAGATGAAAAATAACTGAATAAGTCAATACCTTTAGATGGTATATTTGTCAGGACACTTTATTGGAAATGGATTGGATAATTTCACCCATATATTATTAATTTCAATTATACTCCTGTATATTGTGCTAATATTTACTGAAGAATTGTCTTTCAGATCAGCCTATGATCTGGTTTTTAGTGGTAATGATGTAAACAATTATAGAAATTTTCAACTTGAATTAATAAAAATACAGATGAAATGTGTTTGTTTAGATTAGGTATATTGTTATAGTTAGTGTTTAGTCCAACAATGTACAGAGGGTTCTTGATTACAGCTATTCTCACATTCTGATAAGGGGTCAGTGTATGTTTTTTGGTAGGAAAATGACAACATTGTGTGGATAGTATTGTTACATATAAGTTTGCTTCATAGAAGTTGATTCTAAAAAAAACCCAACATTATATGCGAGATGGGCATATAGTGGTAGTGATAGTGGTAGCAGTAGTGGTAGTGTCAGCTGTAGTGGTAGTGATAGTGGTAGTGGCAGCTGTAGTGGTAGTGGTAGCTGTAGTGGTAGTGGCAGCTGTAGTGGTAGTTGCAGTGGTAGCTGTAGTGGTAGCTGTAGTGGTAGCTGTAGTGGTAGCTGTAGTGGTAGCTGTAGTGGTAGTGTCAGCTGTAGTGGTAGTGATAGTGGTAGTGGTAGCTGTAGTGGTAGTGGTAGCTGTAGTGGTAGCTGTAGTGGTTGCTGTAGTGGTAGCTGTAGTGGTAGCTGTAGTGGTAGCTGTAGTGGTAGCTGTAGTGGTAGCTGTAGTGGTAGTGTCAGCTGTAGTGGTAGTGATAGTGGTAGTGGTAGCTGTAGTGGTAGTGGCAGCTGTAGTGATAGTGGCAGCTGTAGTGGTAGTGTCAGCTGTAGTGGTAGTGTAGCTGTAGCTGTAGTGGTATGCAGTGGCAGCTGTAGTGGTGTGGAAGTGGTAGCTGTAGTGCAGTGCAGTAGTGACAGCTGTAGTGGTAGTGGCAGATGTAATGGTAGACATAGCAGTAGTGGTAGCTGTAGTGGTAGTGGCAGCTGTAGTGATAGTGGCAGCTGTAGTGGTAGTGTCAGCTGTAGTGGTAGTGGTAGCTGTAGTGGTAGCTGTAGTGGTTGCTGTAGTGGTAGCTGTAGTGGCAGCTGTAGTGGTAGTGGAAGTGGTAGCTGTAGTGGTAGATGTAGCAGTAGTAGCAGCTGTAGTGGTAGTGGCAGATGTCATGGTAGACATAGCAGTAGTGGTAGCTGTAGTGGTAGTGGCAGCTGTAGTGATAGTGGCAGCTGTAGTGGTAGTGTCAGCTGTAGTGGTAGTGGTAGCAGTAGTGATATCGGTAGTGGTAGTAGTAGTGGTAGTGGTAGTTTTGTTTGTGTACTGGATCACCCTGAGAAAAAACTAGCAGGGCTGAGACTTACTGATCTCCTTTGGTCTCTCTTTACCTCCTAACTCAGTCTGGAACAAAGCTGTTATAGCCAATGTCACCTGACGGGTTATGTCTTCAATGAAACAACAGTACTTAATGTGTTAGAATCCTGGATGGGAGACAACCCTAAAATATGCTATAATCTGTACTTTACGGAGAAAGTGTAGTCCCACATATTACGTATTTTATATTTGACCACTTTCTAAAAGAAATTGTGTATTCACAGCCTTCGGCCATATGAGCTGTGACACTTGTCAAGGAGGTACACAAAGTACATGATCTAGACTACCAGTCCTCTCTCTTCCATTTTGTGGAAGGTGTGATGGCTGAGTGGGTTAGATTGCTGACTTTGTGTGCTGCTTAAATTATTATGTGCATCTCTCTGAGACTGTTGGTAAAAAAGATGGATAGGCTCAACCTCTCAACAAGGAACTAGAATTTAGTGTTTATTAAAATATGTAGTCATGAATGTAACGTGATGTTCTGAGTGGCTGACACTAAGTGTAATTCACAAATAGGTTTAGCATGTTGCAATCGAATTAAAATCCAGTGAGCGATTCTAGAAATTAAACTTTAGAATTTACCTTTTAGTTAATGTTCATTCTGACAAAGGTTGTCAGGAATAAATCTGCATTACAGTTATTATGCTTTGGTATTTTTGAAAATGATATTTTGGACATAATTTAGATTTACTTTACATATTGTGTGGACACAAAACACACAGTGGGGTTGAAACAACTCACACGAGGTACTCAAGTATATAGAAATTTGTGAAAATCTATGTTCATATTTATAGTGATCCGGGTTTCACAGTTACCCGGCAGGTGCTTGTTTCGAAAACGAGGCTGTCGTAAGCCTATTGAAAACAAACTTACACGCTGGACTACCCCAAAGAAAATCCAAGGTAAGATACGGAATATTATTTGTATTTGACAGCTTATTCGACGGGATCACTGACAAGATAGGTATCGTCAGTTAACCACATGTACATTCAAAGATACCATCAATAAAGTTTGACGCGTATTTTGAAGATTTGGGTAAAAATATTTTGTGATACTGTACCCGTGTCATGCCCCTCCTTTTCGGGTTGCCTAGAAATTATGACGCCGTTTCTATGGAAACGCGACGCTCGTTGATCTGAGATCATTGTCGTATTTAAGGGATCGCGTTAAAAGTAACCAATAAATGGTATGTTGAATTTATATTGTAAACAAAAGCCAAGATTTTCAGCGCGTGATTTCGTTATTCACGCTTTTAAGCCGCATTTGATTCGTTAATGTTATTAAATGGCAACATACAGATCTATCATACATCCTAGATGTATTTTGCCAGTTTTTACCGTTTTGTGTCAATAAACTGACAAAATTGTCGTCTTCCGTGTTATTTTGAGAGCAGCTTCTATTATATATGCGTGTCTGGTCATGCTCTACCCCGTTATACCGCTCCACATGGCGGCCTACTCTGGAATGTCGTACCGGTCAAACGCAAGGGGATGGTTCCTTGGCTCTGACATGCCAATCTCGTCGTATTAATTTCCTTCCATTGTTATTTCGTATGAATGCCTTGGAGTTGATCTCGGTTGGCAGTTTTGGTAAACATTTATTTTTATCATTAAACATGATTTTTTAATTCCAGCCACCTTGATGCTAATTCCTTGCACCCTTCGTGTTATTGTTTTCAACTATTAACAGTTGGAAGCTAAGTCAATGTTTGTGTTCTCTCTTTATTTCATGACATACACCATACATATAGTTCTTGCAATAATTATGTCATATGTCTAGCTGCAGAACTGTGGATGATGAATTAAGTAATAATTACTTGTTCTCTTCTTCATGGTAGTCACACGCATCATCAGTTACACACAATTGTTCAAATCATTTTTAGCAATTTTTTCATCAAATACATTGCCTCCAATTGATATTTTATTTATTAAAAATAATATTTAGATTTTTGTCCCTCACTATTTTTCTTTGATACTATGTTTTATTTGATATTTTGAATTGATTTTCAGAATATGTTTAACAATTTAATCTTTTTAAATATCCTTTAAATATTCATATAAAATCTTTTGAGTATGTTGATTGTTTCTTGCTTCCCAATGTTATAGTTTTGATCTTTCTCATTTAAGTCATATTAATTTCTTTCCTTAATTTTACTTGCAAACCAATCTGTCATTGCAGAAAGCTAATGTAAATGTGTATTGCTATGTTAATAAATGCACTGGTCATAATGAAAGATGAAGCTATGATGTGTATATCCCGGTATCAGGGGTTTTCGACGATGTAAGACAAAAACATAATATTTATATGTAATATATGAAGTTTTAATTTTACTAACCTTGGGTGATAAAGGATATATTCATCTATTTCACACAAAAATATCAAGTGTTTCATACAAAAATAAGGTTGATGACATCGTATCGGCGAAACTGTTGCCCTTCGCCACATCCATGGATTTTGTATGGGTTTTCGACGATGAGCCATACTTTTCGCTCCGCACTGCGAGGGAGTGTTGTGATAACGTGGCTTTCTATTGAAATATTGCCTGTCACCAGTCATGAATGATCTTACAGAATTTTCGCTTGCTATTTTTTGTTATAAAGGCAATTGATTTTGCATCTGAAGTGGTATAAACGATCTCGGGTAAATAATATTGATGTTTGTTTGCTTTTTAAACAACTTAAATTCCGGTTTTCAATTGTCAATACAACTTCTCACGACAGTGACTGGGCATCCGCCCTGCTGATGAAAGTGCTTGTGCTAACCGATCGCGCACATACTTCCCCTATATAGTGCCAGCAATGCATTCGTCGAAAACACCAGAACGTCGAATTCAGCTCGCTTTGGGATATTCATTGCGTTCATGCTGATTTGTAGATGAAAACAAACTGACTTCATGACATCTTTGGTGTGGTGGGGTAACCAAGTGGTTAAAAGCTTTTGCCTATCACACGAAAGGCTTGGGTTTGATTTCCCACATGGGTACAACGTGTGGAGCCCATTTCTGGTTTCCCAGCTGTGATATTACTGGAATATTGCTAAAAGTGAAGTAAAGCCTGTTTCACTCCTTAAATATTTACTTAATGTCAATTACATAATGTTGTCCAGTTTATGTGCACATTTTACAGCATTTGACAGAAAACAAATAATAAATTACTATAATGCACACATGCACACAGATAGTGGTCAAATGTATCATATGTTATGTTTGGGATTACACTTTCTTGGTGGAGTGGGGCGGTGGGGTAGCCTAGTGGTTAAAGCGTTCGCTCGTCACGCCGAAGGCCCGGGTTCAATTCCCCACATGGGTACAACGTGTGAAGCCCATTTCTGGTGCCCACGTCGTGATATTGCTGAAATATTGCTAAAAGTGGCATAAAACCATACTCACTCACTCATAATGATAAGTCGTTGCGTGCCGCTGCATTGACAATGTATACCTGAAACTGATACATTTAAATGACCAGTTACCTTATTGCACGACGGTAGTATTTCATACATGTCTGATTGCAAAATGTCACGCAGTATATACTCAGCAATGTTTCCGTGGCCACCCGATCCACCTTTTCTACGACAAGCAGATGACGGGGGTTCTAACTGAAACTGCTCAAGAGGTCAGTGTATGCAATGACGTTGCATGTGCTATGTTTTGGTGAGGCTGACTTCGGGGCACGGTGGGGTAGTCTAATAGTTAAAGCATTCGCCGAAGACGTGGGTTCGATTCCCCACATGGGTACAATGTGTGAAGCCCATTTCTGGTGTCCCCTGCCATGATATTGCTGGAATATTGCTAAAAGTGGCGTAAAACTAAACTCACTCACTCACTGACTCAGTAAAGTACAGATTCTAGTACTTTTGAAAGCCAAGCTCTCAGAGTCAGGCACCTAATCACCAACACACAAAGTCAGCGATCTACTGCAGCTTCCACCATAATATTGTTTGTTGTTTTAAAAAAAATAAAATAATCCCAAACCCCCCCACTCCCCCACAGCAATATTCACGCTATATAATTTGTTAATATACTAGTATGGACCAGATAGTCCAGTGATCAATCTATGCAACTGCAAACAATGATATGCATCAAGCAATAATAACTGTATTAATGCTCAGGACGGTTTGCAACATTCAAGAAGATATTGGTGTCATATTTGTTATATTTGCCACATTGTGTTACTGACATTTCACTGAGTAGAACATATGGTTACAATGACATCTACTGTGTTGTGTGTTAAGCATGCCCAGTATGTTAATTGAAACAGCTTGTTACATTGTTTCTACCTTGTTGTGGAATATGGGAGTTACATCACATGAAGACCTGTGAAGATCCAGGTTAGAATTGGTCTTCAGCAACCCATGCTTGTCGTAAGAGGTGACAAATGGGATCTTGTGGTCAGGTTGACACATCATCGTATCCCAATTCATAGATTGATACTCATGCTGTTAATCACTAGATTGTTTGGTCCAGACTTGATTATTTACAGACCACCACACATATAGCTGGAATATGGCATTAAACACCAAACCAACTAACCAACCATCAAATGATATTCAGTGTGTTGTAGTGATTTGAGTGCAACCCATGGCTGCATTAATTCAAGGGATGATTTATCGATGCTCATGATGTCAATCACTGAATTGTCTGGTCCAGACACAGTTATTTACAGACCACTATTGTATAACCGTTGGCGGTGGGGTAGCCTAATGGTTAAAGCGTTGGCTCGTCACGCCAAAGACCCGGGTTCGAATCCCCAAATGGGTACAATGTGTGAAGCCCATTTCTGGTGTCCCCTGATGTTGCTGGAATATTGCTAAAAGCGGCGTAAAACCAAACTCAGTCAGTCAGTCAGTGTATAACCAGAATATTAATTTTATTCAGTCTCACAGTTCATGAACCATATTATTTTACCTACTGCCTTGCCCTCCCTGCAATGCTGAAACCCTAATTGAATCAAGTCTAGACTTCCTCAGGTTCAGGAATCTCACTGGGGCTCCTTTTCCATTTAAATGGGTTTATTTGTTACTATCATTATATATATTCAGAGACTAAGGTTTAGTCTATATTATAGAATGTGGCATTAACAGTTTGATTAAACATCAAACAAACAGAAAAATCAAGGAATGGTCAAATTGTGCTGCTACAATTTAAACAGCATTGTTCCTGTGACCAATGATTCTTGATCAGTAACATTTGAATAAATTATGCATGTTATGTGAATTCTTTATTCTTGAAAAACAAATAAGCTGCAGATTTTTTTAAATACAATTAGGGGTAGCCAAGTGGTTAAAGTGTTCACTCGTCACGCTGAGACCCGGGTTTGATTCCCCTCATGGGTACAATGTGTGAAGCCCATTTCTGGTATCTCCGCGATATTGCTGGAATATTGCTAAAAGTGGCATAAAACCATCCTCACTCACCCAATACAATTAGGAAAAGACTTGGAAGTTTGCACTTGAGAGATGGGTAACTACCTATTCTGTGTGACAAGTGGATTGTCACTCAGGTATATTCAATATCAATTGTCATTTAAATAAAGAAGTCAAAGACTCTTCTCTAACTAAGATTGGTTGGTTGGTTTGTTGTTTAACGCTGCAACCCATGCTTGTCGTAAGAGGCGACTAATGGGATCAGGACTCGCTGACTCGTCTGGTCCAGACTCAATAATTTACAAACCACCATATAGATGGAATATTGCTGACTTCTTTTGAGAGGCATTGAGAGGAATATTCGGCAAACAAACAAACTCAGATAGAGCTTCATTGGATTGGATGATCAGACCATGTGATCTGAATGCAATATAACACCTAACAGCGTGATATGTTCATCAAAGACATTTACAAAGCGACCTATCAGAAAATATTTGCCATTCCTGTCTACATATGTCAAGGGTGCCATTGGAGCCATCTA